ACCTCTGCACATATGTAATGGACGCAATAAATGCGTTTGCATGGATGTTTCTGGGATGCTTATTTTATGCTGTGGTGGTGGAGTCATACAAAATCCCATAGCAGAATTTGAGGTGTCATGCACACATGCTCACTCTGGTACTGTATTTCTGGCTTTGCTGTGCTAATTCAGAGCAACCAGCAAGTCAGCGTTTGCTTCTCGTGAGGAAAAAAAGAAATAAGTCCCTTTTTGTATCTGAACTCCTCAAGGAAAAAGGAATTTCTCAGTGAAGGATGTCAGCTCAGTTGCTGGCAGAAATACATATGTACTTCAAATAGTTGTACAGTATGATTTCTTTTCACTTACACAGGCTCCAGTGTAGCAATGAGGAGATGATGTCATATTTTAATATTAAAGTTTTTTAAGACCTTTACGAAATAAGATACTTAAATGTTGAATAAGGGTTTAAATATTGGTCCACGTTAAGGCTGTTAAGGCTAGTGTGTGAAAACTACACTGTTAAATCTGGGATCTACTGTCCAGTGTTTACTTGAAGGAAAAAAAAAAAAGACAAGGTGAATTTAATATTCAAGCAAAAAATAACATCCTCAGTTTTGTTACAGATAAACATTTTATTATGCAATAATGAAGTAAAAGGCAATTTAACATTTGTGAAAAATAGGAAATAAAAGTTCAAAACCAGGAAAATGTATGGCTATTACTAGTGATGTTAAATAATAAGCCATTCCCTGTTCTGACAAAATTTGAAATACTTACTGTATTCATATGAGTGCAGAAATTTACTGTCATAGTGTCCAGCAAATTACAGTAGGTGTCTTTTTAGTCCACTTTTATTTTCTTATAACTTATATGGGAATACAATTTTAAGGATATTTCAGTCTTTTCAACTATACAACTGAGTAATTTTCTTTGCTTGCAGCTCAGACGGTCCCAGCAGTCTGAGCTGTGTTGCCTAGATACTCTGTCTCCTGCGGCATCGGTAAATTGGCCAGTGCAACAGCAGGATTCGTATTCTGGATAAAGGGGAAATTTTGGGGTGGGGATGGGGAGTCATTTGTTAGTTAGTAAGTGGTGCAGCAACAACAATAACAACAAAAAATTATTTTTCTTAACAGCAAGAATTGTTTGTTCAGCTTTATGCGGTTAATCAGGAGAATTGCTGGTGTATTCAGAATTGTGTTGCAGATGTGACAATGACATTAGGAACAGAAGTGTACTACAGCCTGAGATGTCTGTCCCATTCAGGCAGAATGGCTCGTACTTCTGTTGTCTGATTTTTCTTTTTTTTTTTTTTTCCATTAAATATATTTAACAAGGAGTAAGCTTTCATTTTGTGTACAGAAATGTGCCTAATGGTCAATTTTTTAATTTGTTTCTGCTAGCATGTGTTTAACTTGTGCTCACTTAAATAAAAAAAAGCTATAAAGTTAAGCAACTTGCATCTACATACATATATGAAAAGCTATATTAATACATTGGAATGTAAATTTTATCAAGTTCCAGATACTAGTTGGACTTGCCTGACACTTTTTAGAGTGATCTTTTTGCAGTGCACTGATAAATGATTTTCTTCCATCTTTTTGTTCTTCCTTCCCACAAGTGAGTGCTGATTTTCATTGGTCTAGGTCTGGTTCCAGTAAAATGCAGGTTTTTGTAACCTAAGCAGCAAATGAAGCAGAATGATGGATAGTGCAGTTTTTGTTGTGTTTTGTGTTGTTTTTGTTTTGTTTTGTTTTCTCATGCGTGTATTTGCAGAACTTGCTAATTAGGTAAAACAATAAGGAAAAGTGGTTGACATTTTGCTCATGTTTATAGCTATACAAAATGCAAAGTTTAAAAAATCTAAACTTTTCTGTTGTTCAGCCACAGATGTGCTGTATCTGTATAAGCTTAAAAAGACATTTGTTAATGGATTTATTTAATATTCTCAACTTAATTCTTCCATTTTTCACTGCTGGACTGTGAAAATAGCAAAATGCCCAAGAAGTTGTTTTTAAAATTCACATCTGGAAACTGGATTAAGCTTTGTAATGTGTGCTTTGTACAATAGGAAGCCTCAACTGATGCAGAAGACAACAAATCCTTTTACATGGCTCTGCTTCTCAAGTATCAATCTTCTTTTGGGTTATTAAAATCATACTATACAGAAGCAGCTGTGAATTTAAAATATAATTTGACTGGTTTTCCTTTTAATTTGAAGTTTAAAAAAAAAAAAGATTTAAAGAAATCCCAAACTTTTGAATATTTTCCTCTCATTTTGTTCATTTAACCCTTGTCTTACTGGCAGTTGTACCAAAATTTAGAATAACATTTTCTTTTCAAGAAGTTTGTAAGTTTGATAGTTGTCCTTTTTTGTTGTTGTTGTTTTTCTTTTCTCTCTTGAAGGTAAATTAAATACTGGCAAATTCAAGTTTTATAAAATGGTAAGATGACAGTTTCAAAGGCCTACCTTTCTGCTGAATGAAGGACTGTTTTGTATGAGATGTCCTGTATATACTTGCTGTGGGCATAGCTCTGTAGTAGGTCCTTTCTCATTTAAGAGATTCTCTGTTGGCTCTTCTATGTAAGCATGGAATCAAAATTCATCAGGACCAAGATATTCAGACACTTACTTATACTTTCGTAGTTGTGTTGCTCCCTCTTGTGGTTTCTGTAGTTCAGGAAGTTTCTTTAGATCTGAGTCTTTTGTATCAAAACAGAACATATTTCTATCAAATTGTGAATGTGAGAAATAAATATACAGCCCCGACAGCTGTAAAAGTTCTTTGACAAAATTTATTTTATTTTTTTTTCCAAATTACTTGGAAATTTAAAAAAAAAAACTTTTTCCAATTTTCTTGTGAGCAACATCAAAAAAAAAAAACAAAAACAGATCACTGTTCAGGATGAAAGTCCAATTAAAATGGCAACCATCTGGGGCAAAAATGGATTGCTGAACTGTTTCTGATTTAGTTCTGCACGAGAGTAAGGAGGTGGCTGTGTACCTCTGCCTGTGCGTGGATAACACAGAACATTTCTTCTGAGAGGAGAGATGAAAAAGGAATAATACAGTATTCAACTGGGGTGGGGAAAGATAGTCTTAAAGTACAATGTTACATGTGTTGTTGTCTGGGGACTTAAGTCATGCATTTTCAATTATTTGTAAAATTTAAGTGTTGACTTTTAACAAATGAAACACTGCTTAGGTGAAGTTCTGTTGTGACAGTGGGGTCAGATTTTTTATTATTATGATTATTTTCAGTTTAAATCCCTCTTGATTGCATTGTTTGGAGCATTTTTTACGTATGCCATTTTAAGCACAACCATACACCAACAAACTGGAGTCGATCTTGTATTTGAAGGCTGCAAAACAGTTCAGGAGGTCTTAAACATGCTTTCAATGGCTTGGATTCTATTTCAGTGAGTTAACCTGGACTTTTTGCTTGTATCCTCTTTTCCAATTGTATCGTTTCCTTGCATTGTGGGGGCATTTACAGTCAGTTGTTGTTATTACTTTTGCATTAAAATCAATAAACTCAAATACAGGGGTGAAAATCCAGCCTTCTCAGGGCAAGGCTATGGAGCTCAGCAATAGCCTTTTCTTCCCAGTCTCTATCAAGCTGCGTCAGGCAAGCCAGCTTTCTGCAATGATTATCTGTGCGTGTGCAAAAAGGGGCAAAGTGGTCACATTGCTGCATTGTCCTGCCAAGGACCGTGCCGATGACATGCCATGCTGTCTGGGGCACTGGCCAGGTACAGAGGTTTCTTGGTACTCTGTGTTCCCAGGTTCCTTGGGTCATTGCTGAAGTGTCAAATTAGCAAAGGCTCAAAGTACTGTTTTTTGTTGTTTTGTTCTTTTAAGGTGTGAAGGAGGCATTTTAAAGAGGCAAATATACATATATGTATGTATGTATATTTTTCTCATAACATTCTTTTTAGCAAATCCTGTGTTTGAGGAACAATGCAGAAATGAAGTTGTGTTATGTGCTAGGACTATGCAGGGGGGTGGTTCTGCCTAAGCTGTGCTTTTTTGCTCAGAGGCAGCGTTGGCAGTAGGGGAGGCGGAATGGATGTTTATGGAGTGCTTGCACAGGGGCTTGCAGCGTAGTGGATTTGAAAAATTTTGTTGCCATTAATGAGATGGTATTCACATCTGTAGTCAGAAGTCTGAGTTACATTCGCAGAATGCGGTTTGATCGTATGGGCAATTTTAATTACTGCTTTTGAAGTAGTATGTATTCAACAAGGTTGAATAAAATTGACAATTTGGTATTGCTGTTTCATCAGATTCATCTCTTTATCTCTAATTTTCTATAATGTTTTATCAATTATCAACCATGGAGGCTGTGTGAATTAGCTATGTTAAGTAGTCCATAAATATTTTTTTCTTAACCTAGGACATAGTTTGATTTAATCTTATCCACTTGTCCAGCAGTGCTGGACTCTTTCTTCTTGGATAGTAGTACAACCCCCAAAATAGTGGGCTCTATTTTCAGTTGGTGCCACTGGACACTACTTTGCAGGTTTTGTGTGATTGAGGAGGCTACATGCTTTTCGATTTGAAGCTTGAAGTCTGAGATTGTAGTCAGCATTGTATGTCACAAAACTTGAGAATTCCCACAAGATCGCCTACTTACAGTACTGGTTAGTTGAACCCCTTTAGATTGTTAGTGCTTTTGACTGTGTCGTTAAAGAAACTGGATGTTTGTTCTTTTTTGCCCCCAAGGATTTAAATTTTAAAAAATCACAGAAGTGTTACTTAATTCAAAAAAAAAAAAAATTCTGAAAGGTATCATAATTTTAACATGCCAAGACATGTGTCTCCCCATAACTCTTTGGTATGAAGTGGTTAGATTTCTTCTGCATGCCTGCAAAAGTCTTGAGTAAGAGCAGATGTTGTCTCAGTGGGAAATAACATCTCACCATGAAATTTCTGAGCTGACATTCTTAGAATATTTCACTCTTTGAGCTGTTTTTCCATATGCTTTTGGAAGTTTTCACATTTTGGTTTACCTCTTTAGGAAACCCTCTCATCCTCAGCTGGAAGCTTTCATCAAACACATGTCCAAAGGGTCTGCAGCCCAAATGGATGGTACCCTCAGCAGCCTGCCTCGTTACCCTAGCCATTCCTTCTGTGAGATGGGAGAGCTTACGCAGACGGGTAAGTTTCCACATCGGCTTTACATTTCCCTCTGCTCTGTAAATACAGTCCACTTGAAGCCATCTCTCTTATTTTTCTTCATATTGAAATAACTGCTTTTCTGTGGGAAGCCCCTCATATTGGTCATAGCCTAGGTTTTGCTGGGGTATGAATAAAGTATTAAACTCTACCAGAAAAGTAGTGGCAGTTCTAGAAACTGAGCATTATCATGTAGCCTGCCTGTGTTCTGTTACAGATTGATGACCCTTGACATCTTTTCTAACTTTATTTTTAACAAGTTACAGCAACTTTCATTGATGTTGCCCTCCACCACAAAATTGCTTTGTCACCCGTGTGAAAAATGACATTGCTCGATCCCTCCTGAGGAAGACCTGGTAATCTGATGAGTTAGTGAGTCAGAAGGGCACTGGAACACTTGGTTGCCAGTTTTCATTTGTGATGTGACTGTGTCCACTGCAAGAGATTCAGATGTAGCAGACAAATTTGATGGTTGTATTAGGGAAGGAGAATAACTATTTTTAACATCTGGTGCTTTTTGCTTTTTTTGCTTTTGTTTTTTTTGTTTTTTTTCCTCCTTAGCTTTATACAAAGTTTCAAGAGCATTAAGGAGGCTGAACTGATATTTGTTGGGCTGCTGGTTTCTGGCCTCTTTATGTATATTTTTACCACAGGAAAATGGAGTTTTTCACTTATATCTGTCATTCCTGATGAACTTAGTTATTGGGAGAAAGGGTAGAAATGCCAGCACTTAAAGCTTTGAGACTTCCTCAGTACTATGAGAGAGAGGCTGCTGACCTCTGCTAGTGAATGTGTGCTTCATTCAGTCTGTCCACACCAAGAGAGCAGGGAGATGGGAGGTAACTGGAAGTGCTGCAGTCAGGGAGAGGAGCGCGTAGAAGGAAGCACGTGAAGAGCTTGGGTTTTTGTGGTGCTGGGCTGTTGGGATTAGTGAAAGGGACAAGGGGGCTGGGACTGGAGAGGCAGACTGGGAGCACGGCTGTGGTAAAAGGGGCATTTGGGAAGGATCTGGGACTGCTGTCAGCAGATGATGAAAAATATGAAGGGAACAAAAGGTAAGAATGAGAGAGGTATAGAAATAACTCCTTAAGAAACAGATTTGCAGATGTTACACAGCTCAGAGTTGTTCATATTTTCTACCCAGAATAACCAGCTGAACTGATAAAAGTCAAAGTCAGTGTATTTGGTTGCTGCTCTTCTTCTTCTTAATGTATTCACTAGTGCTTCAGAAATAACAAGTGCTTGCCCATAAGCATGAAGAAATATAACTCATGCACAACTGGACAGAAATGTGATTGTGAAAAGGGTTAATCATACGTTGATTTTTCTCTTCTGTTATGTACGTGAAACTTTGCATTAATGGTACTTTTATCCTGCACCTTTTCAATTTTAACATGGGTCTGTTCCGTTTGATCCCACACGTTGCTGTTAGTCTATTTTTCTAAGTACACTAGTGACTGAAGGAGCATATTGCAATGGATCTGAGTAGTCAACAGATTTAGAGACCAGACAGAATGAAATCAGTGTTGAAGATTTTGGGGGTTACTACCATTTCCCTCTTGCTAGTTGTCTTTCAGAGATTCCCCTATATTTTTGAGTCCAAAAAATGCCTGTCAAATCCTCATGTTCTCTTGCCCCTCTAGAGGAAATACCTGTTAGGCATCAGTGTTAAGTCTTGCAAAGTGACCTCAGGAGGTGTCTTGTGAGATTGCTAAGTAACTCCCACTGACATAGCAGGTTGCATGTGAAACGGGGTTCATCACTGTGCACAGCTGGACTGAGGTAGTATTTGGGACTCCTATTGCCTGGAGAAATTTATACAAATGGTCTGGTGTGTAAAGGGTTCAGATATGTTTGTTGGCTGCTGTGAGAGAATAATACAAGCAAGGTGTATTCTGGAGTAAGGGTTTTGGTGTGGGAGAAGGATATATGCCCTCCTCCATTCCAGCTGGGGAAAGCCGAAGCATTAATAAAGAACTCCCAAGCAATTTGCATACTTCCTGAAGGAAGATGGGGAAGCCTGATGCCATTGCCACACCTCACCGTACAGTTTTATGAGTTTGTACGCTGGTTTACATTCTGTGTGTTCATTTCCTGCCTGCTGGTACTTCCATTGCCTCCTATAAATGCGCAGGGAGCCCAGCATTCATGGCCTGTCTGGAAAGCTGACTCAGGTGCAGTCTGGATCTACTGTCATAACTGTCCTATTTTTATAGTCATGGTACATCCATTTAGTCCTGTGTTTCTAGTCCAAAGAACAAATATTAAACTGCTAAAGTTGTAAGCTAATTTTATGGAACTAGCTTTTTCTATCTGCATGTTAGATTAGCTCCTAGAGTCCAAGAGATACTGAAAGAATAGCATGTATCTCATTTCCTGTGGTTTTCATAGTAGTCGAGCACGGGTTAAGTCCAGTTCATGACTTGTTAACTAACCATGCATTTAACAGTAGGACAATAACGGTATTTTTATTTCCTCTAAAACTCAGAAGAATGTAATCATGTGTTTTAACTAATAAAAATTAAAATTCTCTTTCAGGCATTGTACAGCACTTGCGAAATGGACAACTATTGCGAGAAATTTATATAAACAAACATAAACTGCTTCTGAGCGACTGGACAGCAAAACAGCTGTACTTGGAGACAACGGGAAAGAGTCGAACCCTGCAGAGTGCGCTGGCGCTGCTCTACAGTTTTTTGCCAGATTTTGACTGGAAGAAAATTTACATGAGGCATCAGTGGAGCACCATTTTTTGTTCTGGAAGCTGCGACTGTCCTATGCGAAACCACTACCTAGAAGAGGAACAGCGCAGGCAGTACAGTTTACGGGTGAAGAACAATGATTTGGAGAAGATATACGTGGATATGGCCAAGATAGTTGGCATTCCCACGAGGCAGCTGAGAGCTTCTAACCCAATAGATTCTCTCTTGTGCTATTTTTGCCACAATGTCAGTTTTCCCTGTACCAAAACTGGCTGCATTGGTATGGAACACTTCAAAGTAATCAAAAGACATCAGTTGGAGGATGAGAGAGAACGACAGGAAAAGAAACTTTATTTCCTGTATGCACTATTGGCCACTCATCCTCTTCTCAACCAGACTGTTAATCGGCTGCAGCGTATTGCAGAAGGCAAGAAAGAAGAAGTATTTGTTCTTTACTCTGCACATGATGTCACGTTGTCACCTGTTCTTAGTGCCTTGGGCATTACAGAGGCCAGATTTCCACGATTCGCTGCCAGATTAGTTTTTGAGCTGTGGCAGGATGGGAAGAGACCCAAAGAACACTTTATCCGCATCCTGTACAATGGTGCTGATGTCACATTCCAGACCTCATTTTGCAAGGATTATTATAAACGTTCCAGCAAGCCAATGTGCCCACTAGAAAAATTTGTTAGCTTTGTCAAGAGGGATATGTTTTTAGTTTTTAACAGCACTAGTTATTATGATGCGTGTCGTAGAAGACCACTGTAGGCAAGGAAAGTGAAAATATTTAACTTCTGTTTAAGTGAAAGTCTGTATTTCAGTTGAGGCACAGTTTGGTCTTGTTGTTTCTTGTACCTGTAAGTACAAAAGGATGTTGCTTGAAACCTTCTTCAAATAGTTTTATTTTAATTCAAACTGTAGATGGTCTCCAGTAGAAGAACAAATATTGAGGGAGTGCTATGTCTGTGTATGCTCACATATGCTGTGTTAACTGTCATGAACCCGATAAACCACATGAGTTACTGTAGCCTTGGACTTTCTCTGATAGACTGAGAGAGCACAGACTGATTTTCTCTATATTCCAGAGCAATACTTGGATACCAGGAGTTTAAAAACAAGAATTTTTTTTTTTTTTACCATCAACTTTCAATCATTTTAAGCAGCTGTATCAGGATATTTATAAAATTCCAGGCATCTGTGTTAAACCCCTTGTAAGATATTCTTAAAGCTCCCTACTCAAAAGAAGCATTTTAATATTTAGGGACAGGTCTTTAAAGCAAACTGTTTACCTGTGCATACATACCTGAGCATGTACAAATAAGTGTGTGCCTTTTTGACCTCACAGACCTACAAATACTAGACTTCCGTTACCTGTATCAGAGAAGGGTGTACTGGAAAATGTGTGCAAAACTCTATTGATTGCACTTTCAGCACTTTGAATAGTTCAAACACAATCTAGAAATATGTAAAGGTCTTGTGGCAATGAAGTAGATAGCAAACACTAACATTACTGCTAAATCTGAGTGGGAAATTAGCATTATAAATCAGTCTTACAGGGAAGTGTTGGGCTCTTTCCCATTGTGAACGTGCTCAAGCTGCTGCGCTATAAACAAAACAGTTTTAGGAATTTGATATAGTGGCTGCTTGAGACAGCTTGGCTAAACACTAAGAATTTTGTAGCTGACTTAGTATTTTTATGGACTAGGAAGCTCTTATTTTGTATGATCAGAGTTGTACATATTGCACTGTGTGTATTTATAACACAGTAGAACTTTCTTACTACTTCAGTTTGTAAAGAGCTGTGAAAAGCTGACTTTTAGATGTTTTTTTTTCCCTTGATCAGGATGTGCAGACTTAAGTATAAACTGTCTTTTATGGGTAACTTGAGCAACGAGTATGTATGAAAACTTGTATTCAAACCAATTTCATCTCTTTAGGAGTAGTAAGTTGAGAACCAATTTTTAATAGACGCTTTAGAAATTTTATAGTTCTGGAGGTTTTTTACACATCTAGAAATAATTTAGTCTGTGACTTGTGATTCAGTGGTGCTAGTTTATCAAAGAAAGCGTAATTAAGCATAGGTTCTCTAACTGTTGGTATTCCACTCTGTTTTCAATGCTGTATTTGAACATGTTTCTTTAAATAAAAATTTGGGGACTCTTTGTATACTCGTGTGATATATTTATTCTGATTTCCTTAGCTGTTAGCAATAACAAGCTTAAGTGTATTTCGTTAAGCTGCTTGTAGTGCCAGTAACATCTGCATTGGCTCACTGTAGCGCTTCATATGTTCCGGTTCCCAATCTGAGGAGAAACAGGTGAATACTTCATCAATATCAAATTAGAAATGACAATAGCAAATTTGAGTCTGCTTTATCTCATTAAAATGTATAACTTCTGAAAAGGTTTTCTTTTTGTCTATAAGGGACTGACTGTAATCATTGTGATTGTGTGCTGGAGGGCAAACAGGAAGAGAAAATACTAAAGTTGAGCTCACTTTTGTATAAATTGTGAACTAGATCATTTGTCTAAAATAAACATCAAATGCTCCAAAGAATTTTAGAGCTGTCTGCAAAAGGCAGCTCTAGCTCTTCAGAGTGTTACCTGTTGGAACTCTGATGCTCTTTGGTGGCCATTTATAGGAATGATGCTGAAGTGCAGAAAATACTACCACAGGCATGCTATTGGTGTTTCACATCTGTTCTTTAGCAGTTTTGAGTCCTTACCAAAACTGGCATCTGCAGAAGCTGTTACCTTCAAAAGCCTGAGGTAGAAGCAGCATCACTTCATCTGAAGACAGACCACAGAAGTGCTTTGTTTTCATTTCCCTGTGCAGAAAAATTCCCTTTGTCTGTTATAGGGGTTTTGAGATGCAGCCGTAAGCTGGAGTGTACGTGAGTTTGGATGGATTTCTTACTTTAGAGCTCAAAGAAGCCCTGAGATGCTGGATATTGATGGATACTGCAGCTGTTCCCCATACCGAGCTTTTCTGCAGGACAGCAAAAATGCACCGATTGCCATGCTCTTGCCAGAGTTTTCTTTATCCTTGGAGGATAATGAGAACTGATATTTCATTTCTCATTTCTGTCTTTCTCAGCTTTGCTTCTTTTTTACGTGTAAAATTCTGCTATGTTTAAGGAGGTGGAAGTGTTCAGTGCAGAGCTGATGTGCAGTCCTGTATTTTGCCTTCTGTTTCAGTTCTGGTAGTTACGAAAGCTTCAGTTTTAAATATTCCCTCAACGTTGGGAATGCCAAATTACTTGCTTTGAGCTCTCATATTTTGTATTTTTTATTTAGGAGAGTCTGAGAAGGCATCTAAATGCAAAATATTTGGGTGCAAAGTAGTAACACAGACAAAGTTATCTGAAAATGCTGTCGGAGAGATTTGATGAAAGAAAGAAATAGGGTGCCCTCTCGTGGAGTTTCTGTTACACAAAAATGGTTTCATGTGAATTAACCAAGGGGAAAAACAAACAAACAAACAAAAAGACACATGTGTTTGCTCTGAAATTGCAACACAGTGGAAAAGTAGAGTTAACAACAGATAAGCTGCAGATGGCTTTCATCCTGCAGACTGAAAAAGAGGCCTCAATTTTCCACTCTTAAGTGGACAGTTATTTATACAAGATGCTCAAAACCTTGTGGGGTGAAGTGGGGATAATATTAACTGTGACAGCTATTTTAAGTAGGTCATGTTGCTGAACCTAAGTGTATTCTCCAGGCCAGTACAGCTTCACTGCCCCGTGTATTCCATTCAGCCCTACTCTTTTCAGCAGAGTGAATTTTGAAGTTAATAAAGCTGATAGTGTATGGGATTATAAAGCAGAATGTTTCCCTGACAGTTTGCTGTTTTGGTCTCTGGTGGTTTGGTTGCCTTGTGGTTTGATTTCTTTCCCTTTTCCACATGAAAGGAGCCATGCCACGTGTGTGTGCTGTGTCATTTTTCAAGTAGCTGGGATATGACAGGCTTTGAATTGCACAGTCAATATCAGTTCCACTGCTGCCTTGGAAGCACAACTGTTCTTGACAGTATTTGGACTCTTCCTGCAGAGAACTTAGGTTTAAAACAATTGAAAGAAAGAAAGAAATAGAAGAGCCAGTTAGATTCTCTCTGATCTTTTATGACCTAACAGTAATGTGGATTTATGGCATCTTATTTACTCATTTTTTTATCTTATTTATGGCATAAATATGTAATGAGATGCAGCAATTCAGAACATATATCTCAGGTAAATGAATTCTACTTTTTTTTTTTTTTTTTTTTTTTAAGTTTCCAGGGTGGTAAACTGAGGCACAAGACTTAGTACACTGAGGGACAGAGCTTTTTGACTGCTTCTTCCATGCAGTCTTTAGCTGTTCTAACAGAAGCTAGCATGTAGTCAATGCCCCATTTCCCCCTCTCCCTTTCTCACATCACAACTAACATTATAATCTTTAAAGCATGAGAACAAATCAAAACAATGGCCCCTATCTCTCTGTGGTAAGCTTCAAGGTATCATACAACTGAAATGCTGTCTGTTGTGCATGTGAGCAATGGATTGCTGTGTTTCTTACCGGGATTTTCTGTCTTTCTGTGGTTGATTCCACTGTCACCAGCACTGTAATGTAAGTATTGTTCGTACTTTTGATGAGATGTTTTTAGTTAGCATTCCCTTCCATGGAGCAGGATGAATGTGAATGTTTTACCTATCAATGGTGTCTTTCCCTTGACACATTGCAATTAGTTTGTATTTGAGTATTCCTTGTTAGAGACCACCCGTAGATTTATTGATGGCAGTGTGTTTCAGCTCTTGATTCTCCCTTTAGCCTCACTTTCCCCTTGGATAATTAGGGAATAGCCATCCTTTCCTCCTCCCAACCCCTCCAATTTCTGAGAAATTTGTGACCAGTGTCACAATACAGTAGAAAGACTGGCATCCATAGGGATCCATCATGCATCAGGCCCAGCACATTGTGTCTATGCAGTTAGGCTTGTCCTGTGCTGGCCCACAGCCTGACTTCTGAAGCCAGAAGAGTCAGCTACTGCTGCAGAGAAGAGAAGGGGGAAAATCCTCCTCTTATCCTTCTGCTAGGCAGTAACCAGTGCAGGTTGCACTGCTGAGCCATTTCCAGGCAGGTGTTGACTTCCGAAGAAACACCCCCTCTGAGGTTCTTAAAAACACTGACTGAAAACCAAATATATTAGAACTGACATTTAAACAATTGGCTAGCCTCACTTACTTGGCTCTTGTTAGAGGTTGTACAGTATATCGAGGCGTACTTCTTACCATTGACCTTAGATCATTTCTGTAAACACTTCTAGCATAAGTATCCCATGTCTCCCTTGCCAGGGTTTTTGTTCACCCAGGGCTTCATTCACAGCACAGAAACTGAGAGGACTGCTTGGGATGTTGTTCCTTCAAACTGAACACAAATACCATTAAGCCTGTTGTTTCCAAAATTCCTGGACAGCCATTTTCAGAAGTGATTTAGCCCTACATTTAAGCTATTCATTTGGGATGCCCTTTGGGGGGGTGGAGGGGGGGAGGTGTGTGGGGAGAAATCATTGTCAAAAGCTCTTCATACACTTATATTAAAAAAAAAAATCAGGAAATAATAATAATAAAAAAAGAGTAAAAGTTGATATCATTTGAAATCTAAGACAGTCCAGATTTCATTCTAATATATATATATATATATATTTTATTTTTTTTGGTGGGGGGGATAAATCTTTGTGTCAGTCTTTTAAGTTGTCATTGAAAATGGTCATTGGGGAATGTGGGAGTGGAGGGGGGTTTAAGGGCTGAAGCTGTTGCTGCTGAAGGCCCTTCCACAACAGGACAAACATGATAAAAGTAGAAATAGCAGAAATAGAAAATACAGTCTCTCTTGTTATACTCACATGAATCTGCCCCGGAGCAGGTACAACAGCAGGCTGTTCTAAGAATACCAAAATCTCATCTCAGTATAAGGACGGTTTAAATATTGCTTTTACTGATCCTCAGTGTTCGCATCAACATTGCCAAAGAAGCAAAGCCTTTCAATGAATAGAGAGAGGAAAGGGAATGGAGGAGACAGGTGGATTTCAAGTTACAGATTCCAGATGTTCATCTGGATCTTGAGCCAAGATACAATCCCCTTTTCACTGCAGTCAAGATATTTATTAGGTTATGTGATGAAGGGCTCATCTCTGTGAACACACAGGAGTATAAAACAAGTGAGGAACCCCAACTCCTGAAACAGCACGCTGTTCACTGATTACTCCCAAGTCGGGCACAGGAGAGGGATTAGCCCCATTGTCCAGATGTGAAACCATGAAGTCAACAGAAAAGACTCTGTAGAGCACCTCACTACCAGAGGGGTGTCACTGCCTACTTGGGGTACAGGCAAGCAGAAGAAAAGCATCTTTGGATTGTACAAAACCTGTTGTGGGATGCGTAGGGCAGGAACAAAGGCTGTTGAAAAGGAGGAAGCAAGGCTATTTGAGGAGGAATGAGCTAGAGAAAATAGAGGAGAGAATAAAGGGACAAAAAGGGTTAGTTGCCTGAAAAGAATTTGCTGGTCAGTACGCTTGTTTGGTTGTGCCCTGTGCCTGATCGCTGCAGTATGTCCTGTCATTGTATTAAGCTCCAATTCTAACCATTTTTTTTCTGGATGAGGGGACTCTATTCTGTGTGCACGTGAGGCCTACACAGTCCAGGCAATTGGTTTGAGGACTGTAAGTCATAGGAGCCTGCGTTCCTGAGGTGTCATCTCCTGACGAGAACAGAGGTCTGCGAGTGGGCGCAGGCACACGGGGCGTGAGGTGACCGGGACATTCAAGGGCCCAGGGCCGGCAACTGGACAAACGAAGGGCATGCTGTCTTGCTCCTCTGAGACTACTGAATCTGGCAAGTCCAAACTTCCAAATTTTGGAATCCAGAGTGTTCTGAAAAGTGATTCTGCAGATTTAGAAAAGGGGAAGGATGGCAGTAATAGTGATAAAATTGTTTCTTCCCTGAGCAAGTCTGCCTCAAAGTGGTGAGCAAAGCGAGGCAGCCAGGCCTAGTTTCTGATGAACTGGTATCAGTCTGCTGGTTTCTAACTTCACTCTCCATTTTGAACTGGTTGCATATTTAATATTCTCCTTTGACAATGCTAGTTACGACAGGCTTTTGACCAATTCAATGTCTCCTCAATTTTAAAAAA